GGGAGATTCGGTGGATACTAAAAATCCTGCATGACCCTACCCTAAACCTTGGGAATAATGGTACTATAGTATACGAAGGTCATGCAGGATTTTTAGTATCAACAGTTGTCTTGCGTTGCCGTGGACATTCTTGTTAGTTGGGGCTTTAGAACAAAGGACCTCAATCTTGTATATGCCTTCGTTTCACCCATGGCCTGCTCAATCTGAAGCGCGAAGCTGGAGCCCAGAATTCTGTCAAGGAACGCACAGGTCGCAGTAGGCAGTGTCATGCGTGGCCTAGGCAGGATTCGCATTTCCCAGCTGGCACTTTTGCTCGCAGAGTCTTTGGATAGTAACATACTCGAAGGTGCGAATTGCAGCCTAAACAGTCAAAAAGCATTCCTTAGGGAGGCCTCCAGGGAGGTTGGGGAGTTCTAGCTTGCTTGCGCACCATCGACCTCCCACCTGAGGCCTTTTCCGTAAGCCCACAGCCCCAAGCTGCAAGGTCTTAGTTCTAGCTGATCCTTGCTGGTGGTGGCTCATACTCTGAAACAGGGCCACTGTTCCACAAAGCAAAAAGCCTCATGACTTCCATAAAGCATAAGGACTCCCATATCTTAAGAAGCCTCGTATCACGCCATGGGGCGCGCTGGCTCACCATTTTCAATTTCTGGCGCCAGGCATGGAAGCCTGTGCTGGATTGCAGGGTGTTGGGCACTCACCTAGAACACAAGACACGCGCAGTATTCTACCATCGTGATAGCTAAAGTGATCCGGAGAGGGACCCATCATCCTGCGCAACATGAATTTCGGAGCGTAGAGCGTCACGTGAGGTTATAAGCTTACGCTGAACCTTCTCACTATTATAAACAGTCGGTGGAACATCCTTGCCCTGATATCACACCATTTTGGGGAACAGCTCCAGATGCCCAAGTAAAGTCCATGAAACTCTGCCAAACAACAATTTAAGCGGCAGACTCTGTTCTGGCCTCCTGCTACGGAACCTCAACTAAGCTACCACGATATCTATATGTATATATATAGAGAGAGAGAGAGAGAGAGAGAGAGATGTGTGTGTGTGTGCAATACGATGATTTCCTCACAATATTAACAGCAACAGCAACGAGTGCATGGCAACTCCCAGATAAAGACCGTAAACAGACGAACAGATCCGGCATTACCCTCATCACCCTCCCGTCTATCCTGGAACTTAGCCCCGAACTACGAAAAACCAAAACATCCCCACAATAACAATAACAAATATCCCAAATAGACTAAATCATTCTCCTAGGATGCGAAGATTCATCATTGGGGTGGCTGGGGGGCTTGTAAAACTCAAGCTACGGACGCCCTGCAACCCAGGCTCTACAACATCCGAGGGCCAAAGCCTCAAAAGCCGTGCCCCTGCCCAAACCAGGTTTGGGGTTCGGGGTCCGGGCACCCTAAACCCTGGACCCTACAACCTACAGCATGAACTCTCAACCCCAGATGACAAGCCTAGATCTTTACAGGGCCACGTTAAGCAAATGCTTTCTGTGCCGGATGGTATGGGGCAAGATTAACAACTGACATCCTAAGACTAATCTAGGGTGTAACCCTTATGCATGTATTCCCAATTTGCCCACTAGACTTCTACTATAACTAGAAAATGTCTAATGATAGCACGGCCACTAATACTCTTACCACAGCTGTAAATCCTAGACCAGCACTGTTCGAAAGTTTCAATGGAACCTTGCGAAAATTGAGCCCTGACCCTCGCATCAATACCCTGTGTGTACCCAGAACTGGATAATGTCAACCTCGAAACCAAAAAACAAACCGCGTGGCGATTGTATCTTTGGTCATCCGCATCAATGGCCAGCAAGGTCTTGGCCAAAGCTTCTACTGAAGTGAAGTCATCCACCTGAGTTTGAAAAAAGTGCTCTTTGACCTAGGGTTCCTCAACCCACCCGGGGGCTACCCCCAAATATCACCTGCCTACGGCAACGAAGAAATTCTTGGCGGATACCCATTTGTGGGGAGAGTTGAGCAACTTTGAGACTTTGAGCGTTGTCTCGGGAAAGCAAGCGCATATGAAGGGCTCCAGGGACCGAAGCCCAGCTTCTTAAGACAGGCCGTCTAGGGTTTAGGGATATCACTCTGCGATTGTTTGAAGTAGCCTATGCTATAACGATACACAAAATCTAAAACCATACCATGGGCACCCTACAGTACCCTTAGAGAGTTTAGGATCTGAGGTGCCCTTTGGAATCCCAAGGCCAAATAACACCCTAGACCCTAAACCCTTGCACGGGCTAGGTTCTGAGGCCGGCACATATGAGCTATAGTCTAAACTCCTAGTATCCCCCTTAATAACCCCTATAGTAGTTCCCTATATAATCCCCTATATAACCCCCCTTTAAGGAGTTTAGATTATGGTACATATGACCTCTCACTCTCTCTCACCCTATAAACCCTAAGTCTTGGAGCTGGGAACTCCTGACACCTGTCATGCTGCAGACATCCCAGCATGCTGTTGCGGATGCCCTGCATCAAGGTACTCTACCGCCTCATATGCAACACTACATCCCCAGCGGGGGGTGTCATTGTTAGGACTGGGTATTTAGACAAGAGCCCTAGGCATGCATAAGAAAGGTGCTCCAGGGGTGCTTGTAGGAGCTATGGCGATGCGATGCGATGCGATGCGGAGAGGGATGTTGCCGGTGAACAGCACAATTGGGGGCAAGATTCGGCAAGTTTCGCATGCTGAAAACTTCCTTCTTACGAGAGATTGGCTCTTCGCCTTGGGATTGCAGCCTGCGGCACCGAAACAAGTGAACAGGCCCCCCGCATGAGCTGACTCTTGGCTCCACAACTACGAAACAATCAGGGATATAAACCGAAATCAACAACCGTCAAGTGCACATCTCTACGAAGCCGTGTGAACAGCGGGACGAATCCTCTGCTGCCCAGCGGCATGGAGGAAAGACTCGGGCGGTGCGATGTACTCGTAATCTCGCCTTCCAATGCCTCCTAGTGCCAACGGAACCATCGAGCTCCTTCGCTGATTGGAAGCTGTCTCAAATAAGAGGCGCCCTTCGATGGGAGGTTGGGAAATTTGTCAAAGTTGAGAATTCAGGGGTGGGGACACGGTGGTGTACAGTAGTTTATAGGTTCTGGGGATCCTGGGCCCTGGCTATGCAAAAATTAAGGGCACGGGGGTACAAGTGTGCCTTGCTCTATCTTGCAAGGGACAAGCCTCATTCAACATTCAAGATAAAGTTGCACGAAAGGCATGGGCTGTGGCCGGTATAGAGCTGGCAGAGGCAGCCAAAAACATGCCTCATCTAGAAGCATGTCAGAGGTCAATGCATGCGAGGACATGGCAGAAAAAGCGAAGATTTTGATGCCCAATCCTCAAAGAGCGTCACCGCACTCATAGACCACGTTACTCCAAAGACTCTGCCAAGGACCCTCGATTGGGAACCCTGTTAGGTGCAACGAGAGTGTCTAGAGCACGCCCCTACTGGGACCAAATATCACTCCAAAACAATCCTTGAGAACTGTTGATGCATAAGCCCTAAAGCTTATAGCCAACCCCCGCTCAAGTAGATAGAATATCGAAATTACATAGGGATCTTATTATGGTTCTTGGGAACTCCATTTCTATCTACCTCAGCAAAAAAACTGTAAACCCTAAGCTGCTTAGGCTCATGAAGCCCCGGAAGAACTTCTCCGTGATGTAGCCCTCACAGCGTCCGTTCCTTGCTCCCACAAGTGTGTCACCCTAAACCCTAAATCCTAAAAGCGAAACCCTGCGCCCTAAATCCTAAAACTTGAACCCTAAACCCTAAATCCTAAAACTGCAATTCTAAACCTAAAAGCCTGAACCCAAGTAGCCCTCACAGTGCCCATTCCTTGCTCCGGCAAGGGGAGGGGGAGTCAGATTTTGCGGCTGAAAGCAAAGCCCAAAGCTTCAGGTTCAGGGCTTGAATGGTTTACCAGGAACTTCCAAATTCTCATAAGAATTGCCTATTACTCATTATTTTGGGATGTTTTGGGGTGAAGGGCGATTCTTGTGGGCATTTGGGAGGTCCAGGAGGGTGTAAAGTTTGCCACTCTTGTGGCTAGAAGCAGCGCAAGTGCGTTTGCGCAAGGGTTCGGGCTCGGATCTAAGGTACCTCTTGAGTGGTGGTTCACACGGCACAATGACTCAGGACCTGCTGCGAGGGTCCATGCGCTGCAAGCTTAAGCATTCAGGGCCTTCGGGCTCATGGCTTTTGGCTAAGAGTTTAAGAGCGCTCGAAACTCCTTAAAGGGGGTTATATAGGGGATTATATAGGGGAGTACTATACGGGTTATTAAGGGGGATACTAGGAGTTTAGACAGTGGCTCATGTCGGTGTTTTGAACTTCCTGAAATGGCAATGATCCATTCTTGTTGCTCGTCATGTTCTCTACAACCTTTAATTAGCACAGCCACCACCCCTCTAAGCCTGCCACTCAAACGCTGACAGCTGCACTTTGGCCGAAGATCTCGAAGGCTGCATAGAACTTGTACTTGGACATGAGCCTCTGGTTACCTTGCATGGAGCTGCACACAGGGCCACTGTGTCAAGCAGTGCTCGCAACCGCTACGCACACAGGACATGTTCATCTGCATGCGGATTTGTCTACATGCGTACAGGTTATAGCCATTTTGCAAGAATATCCAGGAGGAAACGCTAAGCATGTAGAACTCAGACGGCTAGCGCTGTCTTCATAATTGTTCAAAATCCAACGGTGATGCAGGGTAGGCAGGTCCCGGAACACTTTGAACCTAGATCCAGACCTAAATCCTTTTTACCTCTGAAGACCGGCAATCCACCCCAATACATCTTGAAAAAAGACCTCGAAGATTTCGGATGACCCCGACTGTCCCATGAAACCCTCAACTCTAAACCATTCACCCCGAAATCCTGAACTGAACCCTAGTCCTAGTCCGTAAACCCTCACCCCTAAACCCTACATCCACCTGGGAGATCCCCACAGCAGCATAGCTGCAAGGGTCGGCACTATGTTTTGACGTGCACCCGGTGCTCTTGCCACAGGACCCGAACCTAATGCAGCTTTGGAGGCTCATGAGTCCGGAACGAAGAATTTGGGGAAAAAACGGAGATGGAGACTACTGTAGGTTTGGGTGGATGGTAGGGCAGGGATGGAACGTAGGGTTCTAGGATCTATTGCTCTGTTAAGAAACATAGATGAAGTTACTCTGCAAAAAAGGAAGATATAAATGTACCGTTCCATCTGTGCTATTGTAGCTGAATTTACATTCATTAACATTGTTCATCATTCGTTGAATACGGGTCACAACGGATCTATATTAATGATGATGGTTAAATCAAGGTTACACGGGCTCACCTACCGATGATATTATCGGGGTGTTGATGAACCCACGTGCTGGGAATTCTACCGGGATTGGGGCATACCAAAACCAAAAAAAGAGCTCACGTTTGCCCCAGGAACATGTGGGCCTTGTCAGCACCCAGTAGCTTCTGCAGCTTCTGGAAGAGGCGCATGCGCGACTTCGAACCTTATGGATACTTTGGGCGCCTCTCAAAAGGGGCCAAAAGTGGGCCATAGAAATTTTGGGGGATCAAAACGAAGATGCGGGGGATTCTAGCAAGGGATCTACGACTAACCTCAATATACTATGGTAGTTTCCATTCTATTTTCCATTATCCCAATATTACTCCATTATAACCCCATTATAACCCCTATATAACCCCGAAAATCTACGAACTATTTTGAGAAAATCCCATTTGTTGGTCCGGCTCAACACTGTCAGCATACGGGCGTCTCCAAAGAACAACGGTACAGTTGGGAGCCCTCTTTCGAAGCATTTGAATGGTTTAGGGTTTAGGGTTTAGGGTTTGCTTTGAATAATTCGGGGCAGTTAAGGGGACCCAAAATGCAGCCATATGTACCAATACTTTCAAGATTGCGCGTATTGTCACCACCATCATGACACTACACGGCAGGCAGGCGCGGGCAACGCAAGCTTGGAAACAAGCAACGATAGTAGAATAAAGCTTGATGCTGTTTAGGATGTCGTTGCAACAGCCGTGCTGAAATATTCCGTTGGGCTCTTAACATTAAAGCCCGTTGGCTGCGTAGAACTCTCAGGGAACGGTCCGTCAGATTCTACCATCAGAATTCAGAAGGTCCGTTTACCAAGATAGAACTCCTCCATGCCACAGATTTGGGGGGAGTTCTCAAAATTAGGCGCACCACTCTGGGGATTCCGTGATAAGGGTTCTAGCGCTTTGGTGTCTACTTCGAAGATATTTTGGGAAACTTTCTATATAAACCGGCAAACAGGTGCCAGGGAACCACAATTCCCCACCAGCCACAGCAGAAGGTGCTCTTTTCCCTTGGCATAGTCTTTGTGGGGATCCTTACTTGCGTGCAGTAGGGTTAAGGGTTAGGGTTTAGGCTTTGGGGCTAAGGGGTTTTGAGAAGAGTGAAGAGTTTAGTGTAAACTTCATGGAGGGTTTAGGCTTTAGGGCTGAGTTTTGGTCACCACAGACCTGACAAACTTGTGTTGAAAAGAACTTGCAGGAGGAAACTGAGATGATCCTGTAAAAACTGCTGCCTATTCGTAAACAGAAGTGTTCAAGATGAACGCCCGCAGCAAGAAACACGGTGTAACCACAACCTACTTTAGGTAGACCCCCCACCCAGTAATAGTGACTATAAGTATTCTTATTATACCACTATTACAGGGTGGGGGTCCTCCTAAACCCTACTACACAGGGCTATGCTCGCCAAGAGAGGAAAAGGACGACTGTTAATAGCACCCAGTGCTAAGACCCAAAAATTAGTCAATCATTGGGCTACACCTACAATTAAAGTTCTGCTATAATAACCCCAAACCCTTCATACCTATGAGCTCATGTAACCCTTAAACACGACCGCCCGGAAACTTCAAAGTTACTTACAGTTCCCGCTTATGTACATTTTAAAAAAGGCTTCGGGTATATTAGAATAAGATCCCCACATATTCCATATTCGATCTACTGAAGGCGGACTATCAATACAAACGACATCTGAGCCATCATCTAAACTCCTAGTATCCCGCTTTATAGCCCCTATAGTAGTCCCCTATAAAATCCCCCATATAACCCCCTTTAAGGAGTTTAGACTCTAAACCCTAAACCCTAAACCCTGAACCTGTAACTCATCTGGGATCTGGGGCATCCTGCCCGGGGCGGAGTGCCCGGAGGCTGTAAAACGGCCGGAAGATGTCTGACTTACCTTGGTGTTGGTTGGTTTAAGGTTTAGGGGTTTAGGGTTTAGGGTTTAGGGTTTAGGGGGTTTAAACCCCTTAAAGGGGCCTTAGAGGGGATTATATAGGATTTTAGGGTTTAAGGTTTAGGGTCTAAACTCCTTAAAGGGGGCTATATAGGGGTTTAGGGTTTAGGTTTTAGAGCTATAGTCTAAACTCCTTACAGGTGGTCTTGTACGGAATTATATAGGGTTTCGGGTTAAGGGTTTAGGGTTTAGGGTTAAGGGTTTAGGGTTTAGGGTTAAGGGCTAAGCGTTTAGAGTTTAGGGTTTAGGGTATTTTCTACAGATGTTAATGGACATGGGTTCCTCATTAGGATTAGAGCAGGGACCATAATCGACTACAAGAAGGACCCCTATGTCCACTGTCAAGGGTCCCTTGAAGAGGGCTAATCTTGACAGTAGCTCATGTGGGGTTCAGGGAGTTGATGGTCTCCTGCTCCCTCCTGCACCAGGTTACTCTATAATTTGTGTAAAGGTTTCAATTACAGGGGTTCGGTATCCCAGGGCTAGGGTTTTGAAGTAACGTGCTTGGGGCCCAGGGTCGATGACTCCAGCTTGGGGATTTTTGCCGTCTGGGGCCTAGAAGGCTATTTGAAATCCCTGCTAGGTGCCATTGAAAACTCCTATGAAACGTGACAGCTATTCAGAGGCCCCGAAACGAAGTGGCGATACCTAAGGCCTCTACTTCTAGCTTCAGGCTTGCGCGGATCTCAAGAGTTAGCTCTGCCGGGGTCGTGGCCAAATACCTGGGTAGTCCCAGCCCCTAAAACGGAAAAGAAGAAAAAACAAAAAAAAACGATTCCCCTGATCTTCTAGTAATAGTAGAAATAGTGGTAAAAATAATGCCAACAACAGCAAAAATAACAACAATAGTAATTGTATCAATAATAAGAATCGCAGGGCAATGGGCAAACCGAGCACCTGTTACACCTCCTTGCACTCTCAGAAACGATCCCAAGCTTGTATTCTAGCCCGCAATCTTAAGGGTTCAGGGACAAGGGTGCACGCGGTTCATTGCCTGCAATAAGTGTTCCTAAACAGGTCTTAATGAGGGGCGATTCTAACTCCTATTCCCCATTGTGGTAACTGCTGCTGTGAGAGGGAATGACCCAAGGTAAAGGCAACAAAGTTGCCTTTATAGGTCATGGTCAGGTCCATTTTTGCAGACAGAGCCTTCGTGGCGCCGCGCGCGAAGCCATGAGCAGAAGCAGATTCGAAGTGGAAGCTATATGCCCATATTTGACCTTGACGCGCTCCAGAATACACAAACTGCTTTACACTTAAAACGCCCCAAATTATGGAGCTTCTCATACTAGCGCAGGGTTGGGGACCCTAGAAGTACGCGGAATAATGGGAAAATCGTAGGGCCCACCTAAGGATGATGAAGGGATGGTTCCGAAAAACTTCCATATTTCAGCATCCGCAGAAGAAGGCCCACAAGACTGGATTGCTGTTAAGGAACTTAGTTGAAGTTACCATATTATGGGTATGTAGTAAATTCTGGGGGTTTCCTTATACCCTAAACCCTAAACCCTAAGCCCTAAACCCTAAACCCTAAACCCTAAACCATAACTTAATTTCAACTCCATAACAGCAACCCAGACATTTTCAGGCGCCCGGCCTGCTGCCTTGGTCCTTGGTGCCTTTTTCAGCGGACTCATCCAGAGAGGATTAAAGACCACCTGGGCTGCTGTTAAGGAACTTAATTCAACTTACTATATTGGGGAACCTTATTAATTTACTATAGATATATACCCAAATTATGTTAATGGAAAATGAAATGGAAACTGGGGGAATGTAGGTATGTTTAGGAACTTAATTTAAGTTACTATATTGGGGAAACTTATTATTTACTATATATACCCATATTATGGTGACTTAACTCAAATTCCTTAACAGCAACCCAGCCACTGCGTCGGCTCGGGAAAGATCGCTCTTGTCTACGGTCATGTTGCACTGGTGAGGACACGGTAGGACTTTGAATTGCCCGCCCTTTCGGACAATCTTCGCATCCTCCGCACAATTCACAAATATCAGCTTGGCCCTCCCAGGACGAACGGCGTTTGCTACAGGGGCAGGGGCAAGGGTTGGAGCCGTGGAAACAAACTGCGTCGTGGGCAGGGCCGCGTCTTCATTGGCAGATTCTTTGTCTGCTGACGCAGCCTGCTCCGAGTCATTTAGGCCCGAGAAGCCCTCATACCTGAAGTCGGGATCTGCCTCTTCACTGAAGAACCTTGACTGCAGAGCTGTAGTCAGGTTGATGAAGCCGGGATCCCCGAATCCATGGGCTGTGAACACTGCCACGCCAAAGGTCAGAAGAGTAAGAAGCCCTGCGCAGACCAGCGAGCGGCCGCACTGCCGCCCGGTCTCAGACGCTGTTGGCCAAGTGCCCTCCCACATACCCGCATCGCAGCCGAACAGCGGCTAGGATCACGCCAAGCCCATCAAAGCTTCGCTGCCGCGGCCGACGCATGCAAAGCGTCACGTCTACTTCTGGTAATGTAAAGTTTGGAGTTTTAGCTAAAAGGAGATCATGCCGTCTTCCTGGGCGGTAAGCGGAGTACTTGGGTAGAGCGTTTAGCTGGGAGCCTGGGAGCTCTTAGTCAGCAAAGGTCTGCGGCCCAAGACTGGAGATTCTGAGTACGACTGGCTAAACATAAGCTGCCACCCAAGCAACATGGTTGACCGCTTGCATGTGGGTGCCAACTTGGCACATGTCTCCCGCAACGGCTACTTTGCAAAGAGCTTGGCGCTTTGACCCACAACGTTGTACATATGCACATATAATCAGAAGTTTAATCACATACACATATGTTCAGGCGTGCTTCATCTACGGCCATCTACGGCAATGTGTCTCAGCTTGCTTTTGCAAGTTTAAGTTGCAGGTGGAGTCCGTCCTACCAGCTTCGGGGCTAAGTGGCTTGGCCAGCTGTTGCTGCGGAAGGCACAAGACATGGAAATCTGGGCGACACAGCAGTCCTTGTGCAGAAGCCCTTTAGCAAGATACATTCAACTATCAGCTAGTGCGAAGGGTTAGGGGGAAGCAACTGCATTTGACAAAACATTATATACGAGTTCCTCGCGGTATCTGAACTCCAGCACGGCTGGACTGGAACATGCAAATCAAAACAAGTAAACTCATCAACGTGCTTCAACAGCAACCATGCATTCTTAGCTTGGGTAACTTGCTAGTTGTTTTCAGGGACTGGACATGGACATGGACCATGCAACGAAATCTGGGGCCTACTAGGATATGGGGCTTACTTGCTGGCTGCTAGCAGGGCATGGATGAAGCGAGAAAATGGAAATTGCTGTTTTGTTCGGGATGATATTGGGGCTACTGTAGCTGCAATTCCTCGTCCATTCTCCACTAACAACCAGCGAACAACCTCTGAAATGGAATTGCTTCTGTGGGCCAGGCCACCTAGGAACCCTGCTCCGAACTTGCAACATGTCTGAAGTGGGGCTTTGTGGGTTGAAGCTCAATGTTTCCTATTTAGGGTTTAGGGTTTAGGGTTTAGGGGTTTGAACCCTATGGATGCAATGAGGAACACCCAGGGCCACAGGACGCAGTCTGACAGATATCCATATTCTATCTTCTGAACCCTAGACCCCCATCCTTAACATCTCTCGGCTTGTTAAGACAAGCCATGATATCCCTAGTCTATCCTATGAACCCTTTTGGCCCTCCACCCTTAGCGGAATATTCGATGACACAAGTAGCAGGGATCATGATGAACATTTGGGTCTGAATTCTAGAGGATTCTCACGACTCAGCATTTGCTTAGAAATCTGGAGAGCGTGTGTATACATATCTATATATATATATGTATATCTCTCTCTCTCTCTCTGTCTCTCTCTCTCAAGGATTGCTTGGGGATCTTGGGCGAGCTGCGATGTAAAGTACGCCATACAGACTAGCCAGCTGAATTTCTGCTGCCGCTGAAGGCTGGCAGATGGCACAAGTTAAAGCTTGCCAAGGTCTCGAGAAAAATGAATCGCAGTACGTTGCATGCACTGTATTTCCAACATGTCTTGCTACAAAGCTGAGACTCAATCTGATGATGCTACCATTCCATGTGATGCGTATGGCGGCCTCCCTCCAAGAATGGAATGTAAACTGGCATTGATTCTGAGGTTTCTGCAGGGATTACCTCCCCCTAAACCGACCCCCCTCACCGTTAATCACTCCCAAAATCTATCAATTACTTACTATTTGCCCGGTTTCTAAAATACGGCGATCCCAATATTAACCCAAAACACTAAAGTCTCATAATGGGAAGCCCAAAATGGTACCCCTAATTTTGGGAAACCCTCGTTTGGGTGTGAGCTCTCAAACTTAGATTGGAAGTGAGCCCCAAAATTCGGAGGCCTGAAACCCCATCTCTCTGCACGGTTTAGAGCTTATAGGGTTCGGGGCTTCCAAAGATCGGTACGAGGAGTTTCATGCGGAGCCCAAACAGGGAACTCCAAGAATATAGTGGGAATATCATGGGAATATTAGGACCCGGACCCTTGGTAGGAATGTTCCTATTATATTCCCATTACATTCTTTAGATTCCCTGTCTGGGCTTCCCATGAGAGTCCTTTTAATCCTTGCTCTGCCAGGGACTTTAGGAAAAGCAGCCTTTTTGGGGACTTCAGGCGGAGCGCCAATCAGCCTGCTGCAAGGAGTTCAAGAAGTCTTTTCTGGTGTCTCGTAAGGTACATGAGCTACAGTCAATATTTCGCCATAATTCACGGACATGGGCCCCTTATTACGCAATATATATTAGAGACTATACTAAATATGTCCACCCCTATAACCTCAATGTTGACAATGGCTAACATGATCATAGAGTGGTGGGCCTATAAGAGGTCTAGATAGGCCTCCGAGTGTCTCGACCCACCTAAACCCCAATTGAATCCCTGAATGCCCCGACCCAAACCCAAACGTTGCAAAGCGTGAAGTCCATGAAGGAAAGCAACAGTCCCCAAAGCTCACAACAGAAATTGAATGGTTACTGCAGGAGAGCCCCTACAGTAAGCCCCCTAAACCCTAAACCCTAAAACCTAAACCCTAAACCCTAAAACCTAAAACCTAAACCCTAAACCTAAACCCTAAACCTAAGCGCAAAAGAGCCTTTGAGAAGAGGATAGCAGCGTCACTGGGCTTGAAAGCAGCATTGTGCAGGCAGCAGTCCTGTCTGGACTTCAGTTTCTTAGGGTTTTAGGGTTTTAGGGTTTAAGGGTTTAGGGTTTAATTAGGGTTTAAGGGTTAGGGTTTAGGTTTTAGAGTTTTAGGGTTTAGGGTTTAAGGGTTTAAGGGTTTAGGGTTTGACTTCAGGGTTTTAGGTTATAGGGTTTAACTTCAGGCTTTTAGGGTATAGTGTCTGAGGTTTAGGGCTAAGTTACTATAGTGAAGAATGTAGCGCTAAATGAAAAGCAGGATTATGGTGGCCTACAGGCGTTCAGGACAAGTCGCAGGGTTGCTCAACTCTCCCGACAACCCTCCCTTGAAGAGTAATTACACTGGATTGTTGCTGTTCAAGATAATGCGGGAGCCTTCTGGAAAGTTTTGGAAGGCTACTATGCACTGCCAGCGGGAGTTAAGCGGAACCCTGGACCACCTCATGCTTAGTAGGGACTACTGAAGGCATGGATAACCCTAAATCCTAAACGTGTACCTATAGAGACTGCTACAGCAATCCCAGCTCGGCTAGAGCCCCTTCCCCTTCCCTACTAGGCGCCCTGAACCCCAAACTCAGTACTCTCCAAACCCCTACACGATATGGCAAGTACAGTTCCCTACTACTGGGCTGTTGTCAAGGAACTTGAATTAAGTTACTCTGTACAGTTTTCTGGCAACCTAATTTAAATACTTTAACAGGCACCCCATCACCACAAAGTGGCCTGTGGCAGAGCGGGAAGAAAGCCCCCCGAAGCAACACACATTGCACCCTTCCTATGCGGCCCATCTGTTTTCTACAGTCTTTCCGTTCAGGTGCCGTTGCAGATTCAACCTCATCGCCTGTAGCAACGCTGCGGTTAAACCCTAAAAGCCCAGACCGTAAAGCCTAAACCCTAAACCCTGCCCCACGCCCCAGAGGGAGTTGCCATGCCTGTCGCAGCATTTTTGCAGCTGACAACTTCTCTGCAAGCCCTGTAGCTCGGATGCTGCCCCTAGGGTTTAGGGTTTAGGGCTTGAGGGACAAAATGCTACTACAATTGCAAGCTTGGGGTGCTGTGCTAGGGTGGGAGCAATATCCAACCTCTAGCTACGATTTGTCAGTGTCAAATCCACGGCCCTGGACTGCTGTTTGGAAATAAGTGGAACGCCAGAGCAGAAACACTTGCACCAAGCCATCTGTAGAACTCCCTGACATTTCTGGAGACCCTAGACCCTGAATCCTAAACCGCGTACATTTCTGGAGGGTTTAGCAATGAGAGGGAGCACTGAAGAAGAAGGGTACTTACAATGTGCAGAGAGGACCCCAGAGACTCAAGCGTGCTGTAGGTCAACAACCCCCAACACTTCAAGCAAGCAAAAAGAAAACAATGTGAACACTTAGATTGCCCAGTGAACAACAGGGTTCCAATATGCGGGCCAGCCCAAAGAAATAAAAAGGAACCACACAAACACAGTGCAAGATACGGAGTCATCGGTCAGCGGTCCTTGCATAGCCTTGCGAACCTCGCTGCACAGTCGGGAGTTTGGAGTCCAGGATCTAGGAGTAGCGACTATGACCATCGCAAGCGTGAAAGGTCCGTCATCACTACCATCACTGCCCTAAATCCTATAGCCCCCATGAAGTAGATAGGATGTTGCCTTGGGTATACTATAAGAAGATTCCCAGATACCCCATATTCTATCTACTTAAGGAGGACTATAACCCCAGCTATTGTAAAGTTTGCGAATGTATGAGGCGCTATCTAGGCTGCCCTCACCAACCCTGCTAGACATGGAACTTGTGGCACCCATAACATAAAAGGGGCCTGAGCCCTACAAAGTTCCAAGTGCTAAGCTGCAAAGCAAACAGCCAAGGTCTGTAAAGTCATGCTATCCGACTTAAACCCTCAACCCTAAACCCTTGACTGACCTAAACCCTAAACCCTAAACCCTAAATAGTAGTTTCCATTTAATTTTCCATTATCCCAATATAAACCCATACTTTGTGGAAACATTGCTTGCACCTTGCGCTTCCCAACATGTTAGAAACGTCAAGCTTGAGTTCGACAACCCTGTACTCTTCTTTTGGGCCCAGCGAAGCATTCTTGTCATGTTGTCAAGGTCTCTGCGTGCCAGTTCCTCCATTGCCGCATCATCACCTTTTCTCCTGGGCAAGGGCAATTTGAACACAATCTGAAGCTCAGCCCTAAACCCTAAAGCCCAGACCCTAAGCCCTAGGCCCCAAAGGTTTGGATGCGTGATTCAATGGCTTTTGGGATGGACCTCGGGTTGGACCCTGGGGACCTCTAGGTTAGGGTTTGGGGACTAGAATCGTACCTACATACGGGGTAGATATATGGGCTACTATTTGACAGATGGCAATCTTCCGCAGAAAAACAGCCACCAAAACGGGCACCAACTGCACAAAGAACTTGAACTTGTGAAGTCTGAGCTTTGAAGTTCTCACGCATTCACACGCACGTGCCCAGTACAAGTTTCATGCAGGAACAGAAGAAGCGGTAGCGCACGTCTTTACCAGACTTAACCACTGGGCCCTTTGCAGCAACAATTCCGTCTCGGGACAAATTCTTACAGGTTTGGAGGCAAAGGTAGGCTGCCAGAAAATCAAGGCCCATGCTTACACAGCTTCAACACCAAACTTGCCGTAGCCCCTTAGCTTAAAACCGCCTCAACCGCCTAAACTTTAGGGTTTAAGGCTTAGGAGGTTTTAATTAGGGTCTAGGGTTTAGGGAACTGTTCGCCCCCAGTGATACCTCTCCTCTGGATCCTCTGCAGGTCGTCCAGATCCTGCTGCGCGTCTGCAAGGGAGAAGCGGAAGGGCCCCGAGCGCACAGTGCCATCCTAAGGGTCTGCCAGGGGCTTTGGGCTTTGGGATTGAGGATTGGAGCCATGCGGGTCTACATGCGGCTTTGGGTTTTGGGCTACAGGATGTGGGCCATGGGGTTAAGATAAGGCTGGCGGCAAGGTAAGCCCTAGACACGCCTGACATGAGAAGCCCATCAGGTAGAGAATCGCCGCACTTTTTTCTGTAGTAGTATTTTCAATATTTCCTAGGACTATACTATAACAAAAAGTGAAAATAATTCCCAAAAACAGTACAGTTTTAGTCTCGTCCAAGATGGACCTATCATTGGCAACTGCCTATATGGAATCCTCAGGACAAGATGACCATACTCACAACCGAGGATCCTCAAATTCACGCTTCTCGTCCCAAAACCATACAACCATACAACCCTGAACCCTTTTTCCTGAGGTTTAGGGTTTAGGGTTTAGGGTTTAGGGAACCCTTTTTCCTGAGGTGCTCAACTCTGACCTCTCTGCCTCTGGGATGCCTCCGGCCCAGCACCACTGACCACTGGCTGTTACAGGACCCGCAGCACTTTGTGCTCCCAGCTAGCCTTGAACCCTAAAACCTACAATCCTAAACCCTACACCCTACAACCCTAAACCCTTAATCCTAAATCCGGACGCCAAGCCTTAAACCCTAAACCCTAAACATGTCAATCAGGACCCAATATCCTGGAGCTTGATCTCTGCACAGAGCACATCATTTGGCCTAAGCAAGGGTCCGGAGACCAGGTAGAAACCAAGGGGTTTAGGGTTTGGTTTGGGGGTTTGGGTCTGGTTTGGGGTTTAGGGTTCGGTTTAGAGTTTAGAGTCTGAGGTTTGGTTTACGGTTTAGGGTTTGGTTTAGGGTATATGAAACAATACTACTACGATTTAACGAAATTCTGGCCCGCTCACGGAAACGTCGATTCCAGTACTAAACTT